GCATGAGGCATGTCGGGTCGGCTATAGGGATCTTATGTAGCTCAATGATATAGATCAAAGTTAGTTTTAGAGGACTGCCGAACTATTATATGTTTAATAGGGTTTTGTACTTGAATCGAAGATGCCACGTATCTTTTCCCAAGTTTGAACTTGATAACAAATCCCGCATATATAGCTAATAGCCTGGTTGTGTCGCTACTTTGTACGAACCCTTGCGGATAGGTAGCTCTTTGATGGCAGGAATCGCATCAAGGAGCTCCTTCCGCTCCTTTTCTTTGAGTATGTACAGATTCAGGTGCTGTCTCCTATACCATATCGACTTCTCCCTATCACCTTTTTGTCTGTACTTGTTCTATCCTGACATGCTGAAGACGGTGTGTTCGTTGTCGCCCTCTTGCCTCGTTGATATTCCAAGCCCATCGTTATTGTGCTAATGATTTGATCCCACAATCGATACAATATCGCTACTTGAATTGAGAGCTGGTACAGCTAGTGAAGGTGGTCGAAGCATTATTTGCAGAGGTGATACTGTAGTGCAGTTACTTGTAGAATAGCCTGTGTATTGCTTGTAGGATCTGGTGTAGGTGTTTTTGCTTGGGCAGCTGTGGGAAGTTTAGCTGCATCGGGATCTGTGGTGCAATACTCTGAATATTTGCTTGTGCACTTGCCTCGCACATTCCTCAAGTTGCGGCATGGTGGCACGACGCTTGCAGTTTGTGTCTATTGGTCGTAGGGCGTTTACAGGCCCACTTGAGCCAGCTTTTCAAGGGGCGAGATCCTAGGCGCACCAGTATCGACATGCTACAATACACAGCCACATGCGATTTGCTGCCCGTTCCCCTGTTCCTGCAACATGCCCCATCCAAATCTGATGTTATGCTACTGTACTGGTACGGTAGGAGGCTGCGTCTTTCATAGCCTGCGTGCGCATTAGGTACGCCAGTTCTGGATTGTGGTAAAATAGGGATGACATTGCAGTAAGCAGTGGGGTCTCGGGAGAAGGCAGACTACGCTTGGTGAACAAGCCATCCAGCAAGACTGTCATCAAAGTGTCAGCATACAAATGGCAGGATGTCAGTGGATGACGCATCGTTGAGAGCCACCTACGCCGTCCCCTAGGGACTTAGAAACCCATTTCTTGTCGTCTTTCGCTTCTTCCATTCAGACACATTCATAAGTTGGTTGTGGCCGCCTGCTGTGGTGCAGAACACCTGCTAGCGGTGGTTGGTCGCTTAGGGGCCTTTAGTGGCTGTGGGAGGACCAAGGGGATGGTCAGGTTCTGAGCCTGTGCGGACTGTAGTGCTACCCTCCCTGTGCTAGGATCCTTGCCAAACTCTTCAGCACCTGTAGACTCAAGCTGCAAAGCTTCACCAAGCTTTCAATTTAGTGATGCTATAAGGTAACTGGGCAATCCCGATGCTGTACAAGATCTAGTATTTCTACTAGTGGTACCGGTACATTGATATGATGGCGGCAAGTAGGAAGCTGTGGGTAGTAGCAGTGCAATGCCCTAAGCCCATAAGAGTCTTCATTAATGAGCGACCAGGATTTACAATACATGAACATCATGACGTTGTCACGTCTTCATCAATCTGCCTACGGCTCTCACTTTTCCCTTGCCTCCTAGAGTTCTTTGAAGCCGCCATTCTTGAGAAGCTGGATGGTGATCTTCTTATAGGCGGAGGATAGCTTTCACCCTTTGAAACATCAGTATAGTGTCTTCAGAAGGGCTACAGACCTTACAATCTCGCGAGCTGTAGGCCTAAAGTCAGGAGAAATAGTATACTCAAAAAATCTCCTATACTTAGCACAGAAATAGAAGTCGACATCATATGTCTTCTTAATCCTATCGAGTCTTTTCATCACGCGGACCAGTGTTTTTTGAACGTTCTCTCTGGTTCTGTCGCGTTTCTCCTTCCCGACCGTTTCCTCCTTAGCCATGATTTCCAGAGGACAAGGAGATGGCAGGGCGCCCTGGAGACGGGGCACCGACGGGCTTAAATATTCCTGCCATGGCCTCAAAGCGGACCGTTCTTCCAGAATCTTCTTCGGAGGGTCTAATTTGTCCCCCTTCGTCTCCTTTTCGTAGTGTGGTTGCAAGCTGGAAGGGACCTCGAAAAGACCACATGCCTGCTCATCTTCATTACAACCTCGCCTATCTATGTGGGAATCTTTGCTTCTCTGTGCAAGTCGTTTAATTCCGGTATATACCGAGACCGCTACCGTATCGTATTCTTGTGCCTCGAGATCATCGCCCCCAAAGTGACCTGGCACGGTCTCGCAGTCATCCGAAGCAGCCATTATTAGTGCTGAATGACTTCGAAGCTGGGATGCGGACAGTCAGCTACCAAACTCATCTTCTCTTTTTCCCCGAAAGCATTCTGCCATTACAGGTACAGTACAGTTACCGTACTCTTCATACGATTTCTCGCGTACCGTCAGCACAGCTTGAGAAACGGAGGCCACGACAATACTGACGGGCTCGAGGCTGGTACGCAAGATTCTTTCTACGACCGCGATCGATCCGAGCCGAATACCGCAAAATACAATCGCGTGTTCTCTGTAGACAGATGAATACGGTACGCGTTGGAGGTTCTTACAACGATTCGACGCAATTTAAGGCCCGAATGGATCGCGGAGGCATCGCCGTTCCGTCGAATTGACAGCTACCCATTGTGCAGCGTCACAAGCGAAGACGGTTAATTCCAATTGTCGATCGAGAAAGCTAGACTAAGTTCAGGACGCTGGCATAACGAGTAACGGTCAAGGAGTTCTCGCTACTGGATTATTTGGGACAAGGCTTGGGTTAATTCGCCTCTGTTCCCGATTTAAAACAGCTCAAAGGAACCCCGGCGATTTCAGAAGTCAATCACATCCAAGTTGACCTTCCCTCAGTCTTCTCAGGATGAGCTGCAGCAAGACAGAACCCCCGTACGTCGGGCGTGTCAACACAAGGAGAAACGGTCTTTAAAGGCCGCCTGATGTTAGTGACTCACTTTTCCAGTAGGTACCAGCTCTCTATTGCTGTCTTCTGAACTCATTGCTGAAAACACGGCGAGTGCCGCTCCGCTGTAGCCTTTCTGATTTCATGTACGGTACCTACAGCCAAAGCCCAGAAGATATAGATCTCGCGCTCTTCCCTACCCAATGACCACACACCATTCTGCCGAGGTACTTTGGCGGTGAGCAAGGACTTAGCTTAATGACTACTGTGTACTGAGCTACCTGGGAGCAGGACTCGAACGTTGTGGGCCCAGCTGCAATATAACATCTATCATCTCAGAAGCTACAGTATTTGGTGAAAGATCACAATGTGAATTCTGAACACTTTGACGATGTGGGAGACATGGAAAGCTCACGTCGATCGGACTGCTCCATTCCTCAGGTCATATACTTCTAGGGCTCCCTCAGGCAGCATAAATGCGCCTCTGTTTTCTCCCTTGATTGATACAGCTATAGTTTGCTGGGTTCATGGCGTGTACTGTACTTGAGCTAGTATATATTCAACGTAATTGTACATCTTAAATCATGTAGCCGTTCCAGTCTCTCATTCAAGTGACTCCGGATTCTATGTATTCCAGGAGCCGGAGGGTCTGTCACGGTAGTTACAGTAAAGGAAACATACCCTGAATTCTACCGGTAATGCTTTTCCATCATTTCATTATAAAGAACAACTCTAATGAGACTTGACGGTCAAATACAGCCACTCTAGTAGGTAGGGATATATCTTATAGTTATGTTATATGAGTACAAAATAATGATACTGCTAACCCCTTGCAGGACCATGCAGTATATAGTTCCATTATTATAAGAGACCTCAAGTACCGGTAATTCCTAGCATCTCTAAACCATTGCCTCGGTGGTTAACGTGTGATTAATCACTGCGAGCGAATATTATCGTGAACCTAGTAGATATAGAAATCATCTAGGTGCGAAGCTCAGCGGCAATGTACAAGTTCTGTGCACAACAGGATTTCCTCTCTTTATAACACATTAGCTTGGTGGGGTGAGGTATCCACATAGTAGGATTTTGCGCATTTTGTACTGTGTACTTTACTGCCTACCCGCTATGATTTTCGGGATAACACTGTTGTGGGGAGGCTTCTACTGTAAGCTGGCGTTGAAACGTGGCAAACTCCAGATCATACGGTAGTGATCAGAAATTCGGAGCATCATCAGTGATTGACGTGTGAGGTAGTGATTCACCGACAACGATATAGCCATGACGATTGTCCCCTGCTCCACGAGAAACGTCTACGACGCTTCGTTCGAAAAGCCTCCGATATGACATATTTGACGCCCTTCCTAAGACTATCGTTGTATACCTACCACTGTGCTCTATACCTATCCCCATGAACTACTACGTATGCTACTTAAACCCTGCTACATAGACCAGGAGGCAGACTCAGCCAGGACTCCGAGCGGCAGCGGCAGCGACTGGGATGACGCTGTCGCCAGCTTCTCTTAAGTCCCAGGCTGTGCCGTTAGCCTCCACCACAAAGACATGTGTGGCCATTATCCTTCTTAGTCAAAGAATGTTCGTCTTGAACTTTCATGGGTGATTGTCTTGAGGTACAGTACAAATACAGTACATCAGAGGAGAGTACCGGTGAATCATTACCTACATTGCTTCAGAATCAAGTGATTGCGTTTTAGGATGATGGAAGATTCTAGAACAAAATTTTACACTACTGAGTTGGGGGACCAAGGCCCACCCTTATTACAAGTCAGGTGATTTATTTCGCTACTTACAGTACCTTACCGGTACCTATAGTGCTTTTTCTCTTTAGTTATTTTCACTTGGATCTCATGCTGGCCCATCAATTGACAAGTTGACTACATTCTACTACCTTTGAAGGCACCATTTTTGTGTGTGTTTTGTGTTTTTTGAGAAGGTGTTGGTTAGCAGGCACAGCCTGCTATCCTGATTCACTACATATTTACCTAGATCCTCACACCCGTTCTATGTTACGCTATGATAGAAATAATAGTATATAGAGTTATAAGGAAAGAGAAGAGCCCTGAAACTCAAGCAGTTTGACTATACCCTCGTGGCCGTTCTGGGCGGCATACGATAACGGTGTCCGGCCATTATCATCCTTCGCATCGACCTTGACCTTGAGTGTAGCCAGCAGCAGGTTGACTATACCCTCGTGGCCGTTCTCAGCAGCATATGATAGCGGCGTCCGCCCCCAATACCCACCCTTTGCATCGACATCGACCTTGCCTGTATCTAGCAGTAACTTGGCTATAGCCTTATAGCCGTTCTCAGCGGAATATGATAGTGGCGTCCGACCCCCATGCTCTTGCCATGTATTAACATCGACCTTGCCTGTATCTAGCAGTACCTTGGCTACAGCCTTGTGGCCCTTCTTGGCGGCATATAATAGTGGTGTCCGACCTCGATTGTCCTCTATATCAATGTCGACCTTACCTGTATCTAGTAGTAGCTTGGCTGTAGCCTCGTGGCCGTTCTCGGCAGTATATGATAGCGGCGTCCGACCCTCACTGTCCTTTATATCAACATCGACCTTACCCATATCTAACAGCAGCTTGGCTATAGCCTTGTGGCCGTTCTCGGCAGCATATAATAGCGGCGTCCAACCCTCACTGTCCTTCGGATCGATATCAACCTTGCCTGTATCTAACAGCAACTTGGCTATAGCCTTATGGCCGTTCTCGGCAGTATATGATAGTGGTGTCCGACCCGTACTGTCCTTTATATCGACATTAACCTCATCTATATCTAGTAGTAGCTTGGTTGTAGCCTTGTGGCCCTTCTTGGCGGCATATAATAGTGGCGTCCGACCCCAATTGTCCTTTGTATCAATATCAACCTTGCCTGTATCCAGCAGTAGCTTGGCTATAGCCTCATGGCTGTTCTCGGCAGCATATGATAGCGGCGTCTGACCCCCGGGCCCATGATTCGCATCGACATCGACCTTGCCTGTATCTAACAGTAGCTTGGCTATAGCCTCATGGCCGTTCTCGGCGGCATATGATAGTGGTGTCCGACCCCAAAGCTCACCCCTTGTATTGACATCGACCTTGCCTGTATCTAGCAGTACCTTGGCTATAGCCTTGTGGCCATTCTCAGCCGTATATGATAGCGGCGTCCGACCTCCACTATCCATTATATCAATATCGACCTTGCCTATATCCAACAGTAGCTTGGCTATAGCCTTATGGCCGTTCTCGGCGGCATATGATAGCGGCGTCCGATCTCGAAGCCCACCCTTCGTGTTGACATCAACCTTGCCTATATCTAACAGTAGCTTGGCTATAGCCTCGTGGCCATTCTCAGCAGCATATGATAGCGGCGTCCGCCTCGAAGGACTATCCTTGATATCAACATCGACCTTGCCTGTATCTAACAGCAGCTTGGCTATAGCCTCGTGGCCGTTCTCAGCAGCATATGATAGCGGCGTCCGACCTCGATTATTCTTTATATCAACATCGACCTTGCCTGTATCTAGTAGTAGCTTGGCTATAGCCTCGTGGCCGTTCTCGGCGGTATATGATAGCGGCGTCCAACCCCCGGCGTCGGTTGAGTTCGGGAAGGCCCCCCATATCATTAACTCCTGTACAGCTTCAACGCTTCCTTCTTGAGCGGCATAGGATAGCGCTGTCCTTGAAGCCTTATCTTTATAGTCTGGTTCGACGCCCAATTCGAGCAACGTAAGCACCACCTCAACCCAGCGACACTGTGCTGCCAAACAAAGGCCGTCTCCTTTTGTCTTATTAGACACTTTTGACTTATTTGGGCCTAAGGTCGGCAGAGTGAGGTTCAGTAAGGTTGCGGTCAAGTCGTGTGAGTCCACAAGAAGAAAGCTTTCGCGTCTAGCATCATCTTCACGTTGGGAGAACCGTGCACTGATGTTGCAATAACGATCTATGATCTCGTTCACGCCGTTGGGATATGGCTGACTTTGAGTCTGTTCAGATTTTAGGTTTGCGAGCGATTGAATGCCCCGACGACCAAACTCTTCGTTATTGTTGCGTAATGCCCATCGGTAAAGCTCGCCCAGTGCAACTGCCGCTCGTTCAATAACCGACCCTTCGGGTTTCGGAGACCGGGTGCAGATTGTCCAGGCCCACTTCAGCACATCTTCTGCTTGTGCCCACTGATTACCTCTCCGAAGCTGATCCGCTCTCTTCCGGGCCGCCGACAGGGCAATCTCGGCAGAAGGCTGCTCTAGTCGAGATATTATCGGAGGCAAGACACATAGCAAGGCATCTTCTCCGGTGCCTAATTGCCCGTCTGTGAACACTTTTGCGAGATCGGCTACCAGGTTATTCTTCAAGCGAAACCCGCGGACATCTTCAAGAATCTCAATACTTCCAACCTTGTCAACGATATCGAGAATACTTGTGATGAATGAGCCGAAGATTTCCTGAGCACATAGCAACACGAGAGAGCTATCGGTAGGAGCAGACCAAATTTCGACTCTTTCAGAGGTAAGGTGTTGACACGACTCAGCCACAGGCCAGCCAAAGAATCGAAGTGCTTCCTCTTTGTCTGTTTTCTTGTTGTATGCCTTCTCCTTGTCTGTTTTCTCGTATTCAACTTTGTCGCCTGTACCTCCTTTTTCCCATAATACACTTGGGTCGACACATGTGTTAACACTTAAAGGTTTGGTGAGTATTCCCTTCTCGAAGTTGGCCTCAGGACCAAGCCACACTTTTAGGTGGGTTTCTGTATGTTGATCGATTGCAACAATGCGACGTGCGGGAATTTCAGTAGCTCGAGATATTCTCAGGTTGCTCTGCTGGTCATAGTCCTCAACAACTAGATCAGACTTCAATGACCACAACCAAAGGCCAAGAATACCCTCTAGCTGTAGTCTATCTTTCAGCTGCCAAGGTCCTTTATTTTCGCGCGCCAGTTGTAGGCACAGCCTTTGCGACTGCTGACGGGAGGGTGACTGCGAACGAGAGGGCGACTCAGACACAGACATCTTTGATAGTATGCAGTTAAAGGCCCAATATATCAAACCGGTGGTCTTCCAGTCATTCTTTATGTGCCTAGGGTCTGAAAATATCGATTTGACTGCAGACTCGATTGCTGTGACAAGTTGCTGGGCCACCTCGCGGACTACAACCATTCTGGTGTCGAAGTTCTCGGTAGAAGTTACATACAGAGTGTCCGGCAATTGTGTAAGCTGTGCAAGGCGAGTCCGGTAGGCTAGTAAATTTCTAGCAGCATTCCCACTGGCATTGAAGCATGGTACATGTAGCGTTTTCTTCATTCTTTCCGATTTCTCAGTGATACCAGAGAATTTCCAGTAGTAGCGGCCTTCGGGATCGGAAGCAGGATCTTCGGAAATATGGGTATTTGAGGCAGGGCTGCTCAAAGTAGAGGGATCCGAAGCAGCGATATTCAAGTCCTGTTCGATATCGTCTTGGCCAAGGCGTAAGGCAAGCCAGTCAAGCTCGTGTCCGGTGACCTCGTCTGGGAATTTGGCAAGGTAATTATCGTCTGGCTTCAGGCGTTTCATACGTAGTGCGGCTCGTGCGGCGCTCATTACCATGACAGCTCCAAGCTGGGCTACGGAGACAGCAGAATGGATGCCTCGCAGTCCCACAAATTGCAGCACGAAGCCGATCACTGTAATAATGATAACCACCCAAATAGCAACTTTGGAATTATTCGACCAATCCTCTGACCGATCCTTCCACGAGGTGATATATTTTTTCAGAGGTTCGCGTTGATCACTGGAGCAGAACGGGTCGAATGTCTGGTCTCCTAGAACTTGTCCTCCAGGCTGTATCCAGTATATAAACGAGGCAGGCGGCTGCTTTTCTCTCTGAAATACTCGTTCTTTGGTACTATGTCCTACAAGAAACGCGCATGAGAAGATCCCGGTACACACAAAGACCGTTCCGATGATAGTCAGCGGACAGGCATAAGAGTCTGGCTCCTTGCCGTCCTTCTCCCATCTCAGGAAATATGTCACAGTCATGGCGAAGATTAAGACGCCGGCCTGTAGAATCACCCCGAGAGCGGCAACTGCCCAGAAGACTGCTACAGGCTGTCTCTTTATTCCGAGATTGAGAGAGAGATTCGGGGCAAATGCAACAGGGTCGGTATTCTTTTCAGGATCAATATTCTTTTCGTCGTTGGTATCCTGATTGTTTCTCACACCCTTTTCACTCCACTCGTTCCCGTCTTTTCCACCGTGTCGGTAGTCTCGAAACGTGTAGATCCCGGCAGTCCCGTCCTTATCTTTATTTCTTGGGTCGAAAACAATCTCCAGAATCTTCGGGCGACCAAAAACTCTCGCGATGCCGCCGTTGTTATAGAGCTCGCACACATCTCGACTTGTCGAAGAGCACAGCTCAGCCTCCGCATTTCCCCCGCCTTCTTGCGCTCTCCCAATTAAGGCGCGCAGCGATGGGCTGCCGCATACCCGGATCGCAGAGACAACTGCCGTCAGTATCCCCATCGGTGCCATTGCAAATATGAAATAGTCAAGGTAGCTAATGCTTTCGCTCAGGTACTGCATCGTGATCTGTTCGCCGAAAAGAGACAGAAACGGGGCAAGATCGGTTGCGAGGTTATTCGAAAAGTCATCCCAGCCGTCCGCGCGAACGAGAGGCAGCCCAAGAAGGACGATAAGCCACGATATAGACATGTTTAAACGATATAAATTGGCAGAATTGCTTAATTTGGCGTAGAGAAGTAGGTTCGACTGTGGGCCTAGGTCGACTCGTATACTCTTGAGCTGCAGCCTCGACCTTCAAATATGACAGGGGCAGCCAAGCCACAGCCTTCTATCGACATACACAAGGAACAAGCACCGTCCTTCCGTGTCTTTCAGCTTGTCTAAATTTAGATACATGCATAACTAAGCGCCACAATCAACCAATATACCAGACCGGTCTTCTAGCTGAGTTGCGCGCATATGTAGGTGCGCAAACGAGGTCTGTCGACGACATAGATATCGAGATGTGATATGTGCTGTGGGTGGTGGTCAGAGCAAGCCACAAAAGTCGCCTTCAAAACCAAAGCTGATGCAGCTCATAGCTCAAGGATTTTTGTCCTATATTTAGACCATAGTAGGCGGTGATATGATGCATTTGTCGCTGTATATGGCGGGCACAGGACCAATCAGTGTATATAGTGTCATGATCTTCAACTTTAGCAGAAAAGGCTGAGACTTTTGGTACATACAGTCTGCATGTCTCTATGGTGATGCGGTCGCTTTCCTGACCGCCTGAATGAGTATAGCCATATAGAGCGCTTATCTTGTTCCCCATAGGTGCAGCTGGGCATCTCTTGCTCGTAGCCAATCGCTATTGCACCCTTGCTGAGGTCGGAATAGGGACCACAGCTGACGCTCCTTGTGCTCTGGAAGGCCTCCTGAGACTCCTCGCTATTAGAGGTGTAAAGGTCACAATTTAAAGATTCGCTTGCATCATCACTAGGATAATCATCTGTAGCCTCACTCTGATTCGTGATCACTGAGGTACATTTATGGAAGTCGAGATGCTATCTATGTGCCAGATGGGCCGGCTGACTCGTATAATATCACTGCTTGCACGGCCGGAATGCTAGGGCACAGAGCTGCGAGACGCTGCAAATCTAGATCATGCATCCATTCCTCAGGCTGATCGACGACGGAACCTACAAAAAGAGCGCTCGGAAGAATAACGTGCTGGCTAATGTAGTAAGCCACAAGCTTCTTCTCAGCATGTGATGCCTGGAATGAGCTAGGCCGCCGCGGCTCATCCCGACTGTCTACGGGCAGGTCGTATCTGATCAGTTGGCAGAGCGCGAGAACATGGTCTCGCCAAAGCCGATTATCGAGAACATATTCTACGGCAAAATCAGTGCGCCAACCGCTGGCGGCACTTACAACTGGGAATAGCTTGCCACGGTCAAGGCGCGCTACCGCCTTGAAGGTATCCGGCACACCGTATGAGACACTCCGCTCGTAATAACCGATCTGGTGCCCCAGTCAGTGGTCTCCGTGATAAAGCGACCAAGTTTGAGCTCATCCGGTGAGGCTGAGCGCAAAGTTTCCCCGGCGGTCGGAACGGGCTCAAAGACCTCGAGCTTGACAGCAATAATCCTGCGGTTGCCTTCGGCGTCGCTCTTCTCTTGACTACAGCCAAGCCTTTCTCGCATCCTCGCCGTCTTTTTCGAAGGTCTCGAATAAAAGTAAGCGCGGCGCCCCTTACGGTCTTTTGCGCGTGTATCGGCATCGCGCTCGAGCAGGATGTCAACGGCTTTCACGCGGCCCCAGAGCGCGGCCTCCATCAGTGGCGTCCGCCCACGATTGTCAGAATTATTGAGGTCGCCACCTTTGTCGTGGAGGAACTGGATCATCTGGCCATGACCTTCAACTGCGGCTAGGGCGATACAATTAACACCGCTCTCGTCTCTGTAGCTGACGAACGAATCATCTTTAAAGGTCTGTAGCAGGAATGCAACTCCACACAAGTCGTTGAGGATGCAGTCCGAATTGAAGCGGTCCTGTCGATAATCCACTTCCTTCATGAGCTCTTGCAAAATCTTCTCGCCCGGGGATTTTGGTTCTGGATACCTACCACAGTACGGCAGAAGATTTTCCAGGAACGCCTCAATCACGTTGACATCCGTATTATCTTCATATACCTCGCAGTAAATCACTCCGTCTATGGTGTATGCTGGTAAGATTTGCACTCTCTTTCCTCGATGGAAACGCTTGGTCTGCACCGGAGTCACTCCCTTCGGAGCGTAGCCACGTGCAAGTATCGCGAGACCGCGGTCGTCTCCACTTTCATCGATGAAAACCATCTGGTCGAGCTTATAATGAGACCGCCGCTCGATGTAATCATCTCGTAGATCTGGACTACGCTCTTTGGCAATGTTCTGGACCACCTTCTTGGTCCAGCCGACTCGTTTCAGCGTTCTACTGATTGTTGATCGTGACACGGTAACACCATATTGTTTGTGAAGGAGTTCGGCCATGGCTTCTTGGCTTGTGCAAGGAAACTGTTCTAAATAGTTCTTCAAGGCAAGCCACATATTCTCTGTGACTTCTCTGGGTCGGCCGGTAGTCTTACCAGGGGGGTCGATTGTGCCATATTGGAGAATCTTCGATCGAGCGTTACGGACGGTTCGCGTGGAGCAGGGGACGATCGTCGTAGCTATGTCCTTGTCTTTAATAACTTCCTCACCCTTTAACTTACTGATAACGATGTTCTGAAGCTCTGCTCGCTGGATTTTGGATAATTTAGGGGCGTGGAGGTGTAGTGCTTAGCTTTGCCACGTTTCAACGTGCACGGTGTATCGATCACCCAAAAGGACTAGCATAAACATTTTTCCGAAGATGTACAGTATCTTGACTTGGCGAATTGATACGGTGTTAGATGTATCTCCATCACAAATACGTTTAAATACTGAGAAAGTCACTTATCTACATAACTGAATCACAGTGCGGATAAGCCTCTAAAGTTCCCGTGCCCGGCACTCCCCTGTGGTTTCGTCGTAACACTCCAATTCTCGAAATCGTCCTCCTGATCCATCTTACCGTGCAGGCGTAATAGTCCTCAAGCTCTCAACCCCTTCCGGAGATTCTCTTTTCGACTAGGCTGAGGCAGGTAGTCTGCGCGAACGACCAAGTCCTAGCCGAAGGAGATCACCGACACGATGGCGCAAAAGCCACCTCTTTCCAACGGCATCCTCGACAGCCGTGGCCGCCAGACCCCCCTGGCACTTGTCACCGATTGGGGGAGCGAGTCGTTACATACCCTCTGTCCATACTGCCCAAGTTACCATCATCATGACCTTGGCCAACCTCCGCGGACAGGCCAGACTCGGGTGGCCCACTGCAATTCGGGTAGTTATCAGCTATGCTACCCATTTGAACAGCAATCGCAAGCGCGATACTCGTACAGGATCGACAAGGCAAGGCGCGTCTTCGTAACAGTCGGCGTCCTATCGCCTAATGACGGCGAGGACCAAACCGACGAGAGCACAGACGAGGATGAGGAGGAAGATGACGACAAGGACGAGGGCGAAAGCGAGGAGCCCGAAGAGATCGATAAGGATAGCCGATGCTCGGTAGAAGAACAGGGCGACGGCAACCGAGATCAATTGCGAAAGCTGGAGGATCAGTTTGGGCAACTGGACATTGGCGATGCGAAAGTATGGGAGCCACCCATGTGGCAGAATACGTTGATTTTATGTCGCCATGTGGGAAGCTTCTTTGGCTAGGAGTCATTCTACGGTACCGGTAGAAGGTTAGTTAGGTACATTCGAGAATCCGACTTGCTTTCACGGATCAGGATCAGATGCATACTACATATTATAGAATACTGTACATGAAAGTAATACAAATACTGATGTTTGTCACATCGCGGCTAGGTAGGCACTGTCAAACACTGGGAATGTTGGGAGCTCTATCACCATCTTCTCAGTCCGTGAGGTCGTCTGCCGCTGTCACTGCTCATTTCGATGCCAGGGCTTGAAGCTGACGCTAACTTCGGCTTTTGAACTTCGAATACTAGCAAGATTGCTTTCAGGCGGACACCCATATCAAAAGCCTAGCCACTTTACGTCGTTCACGGCTCACTAACATATCGTAATGGCCCTGGCTAGCTTTGTGGTATAGTACTCGGGACTTTCAAAGCAGAGTCGTTTCCCACTCTACCATACCAAAAAGTAAGCATGAATAAGTCGAAATATATTACTACATCAAGCTTAGCGGTACTCATAGTGGATACTGCAAGTACCGCTAACCCTAATATGGTTAGTACATTAGAAGATTCTCGAAAGTGTGACGAATGAAAAGACCTACCTTCTGTCCCAGGCATTCCTCACTGAACAAGGGGTCAACAGTCCTACAATTGTAAACATAGAGGATGCTATCCAAGACCTAGTCTGGCAGAAGATCCAAGAAGTGCTCCGGGCGTGCAGAATAGACAAATGCGGCACTAAAATAGTGACGCATAAGGTAGCTGTCATTTCAAGAGTTGGTTTGTCGCTGCTAACCTAACATACCGTCTGTTGTACTAACCTAGCACTATTTGTCAAACATGGGCGGAATTAGGTATAATAAAGTCATCAGTCGTCTTTTGGTCGATCTCTGATGAGTCGGATACAGTCTGTAGATCTAGCCGCCTTAGTTCCTATACTCACAAGCGTCAGTATAACGATCTTAAAGGCTTGACGATCCTACAAAAGAAGAAGCGGAAGTTGCGTGTAAAGGTTTGGGATCGAAACCGTAAGGCCATACCTGCCCAACCAAGCGCACAATCTGAACAGCCAGCCCCGGAAGCTTGTCCGCGAACACCAGAATCCACGTCGGCGCCAGCAGCTGCTGACTTGGCGCCTAACCGTCCTACCATTACCACGAACGAGTTGTCTGATATAGCACAGTCTGAGACGAATGCTTTTGAAGGATGGGGCCTTCAAGGGGAGTATATCAGGACGATTGTGCTCGATACAGCAGAGATAATAGATGTTGGAGTGGATACGGTGTCATTTGATAGAGTGCCTAGCGAACCAGCCTCAAGCGATGCTACTACGTCAAGCCGTAGCAAGGCTGTAAGCTCACGGCATTCAACTTTTGTCAGAGCCCTGTCGACTCCCGATATATCGCCCTCTACGACATATATATAGATATCGACCTTAATACAGATAGAGGATGCTTACAGACTGTACCTATCGTCCCTGTTGAATGCTGATGATGCTATGAGAATAATACCTTTGGTCCTTCTTCATTATATCCAGCAGAATTATATGATAGAAAGTATCAGCCATACAGGCTGGACGCCAGAGAGCATCACTAAGCCGCTGAGCATCCGGTCACACACAAACAAGATTACTCTCTTAGACTATGAAGCGGCATCTAGGGCCATCATACGAAGACATAGAATATCCACAGCCCAGAATATCCAAGTCAACAATAACGAGAATATCTACTGACAGATCATCTTGAAAGGGACTATACAGCTTGACCCTGCAAGCCTCCCTACTGCCAAAGGACCATGCGACGGCTTCAGTATAGCCGAGAAGGTAGCTATATATAACTTCATAGATAGAGCCAGGCTTGGAACCAGCGCCTCTAACCAGCGATAGTGCCGGTGGTTCTGGAAGGCACTCTACGACTTTTGTGACCAGGACGTCAGGATGATCACCTGCTATCGTACTGCTGAATTCAATAGGTATTGTAGGGAATATACGAGAGGGAGAAGCCTGTCCCTTACGGACACTATTATATCTTAGGAAGCAGTCTATGGCCTTGTGGTCGACCTGCTAGAGTGACGAGCATATGAGCACCGTTAGGAGGACTTTTCAGGTAGGCTCCTCCTAAAGGTAAAGCATATGGCTGAAAGGCTCTTTGTTCTAGAGTTGGTGTGGAATGATGGGGACAATCTATGGTTCTCCGATATAGAGGAATTAACCTTCAGAGTGGCCGAAACGATCCTTACGATGTTGTCGTAGAAATTGTCAAGTCTTTTCAATGATCGTAATAATATAATAGTATACGAGAACAAAGCCCTCTTCATATCTCTTTAGATGAGTGACTACCATCGGCTGTCGGTCTGTCTGGTGATTATAGTAAGTGAAGGCGACTTCTTAAGTATCTTTGCGGAGACTATCCACTATTCGAAAGACATATCTCTCGTCTAGAGAATCCTAAGGCCAATCAAAGACCTCTTTCTTGACTACTCGCAAGTGACAGATACTCTCAACCAGATACATATATCCCAAAATCATAGTCAGGCAAATATAAAGCTTGAATGGCAAGCTATAAATAAGTAGGACATATCTAGGGTATGCAAGAATTGGAGAGTCCTTGTCTTGGCGACGAGGTCTATTGCACCTTTTGAACCGCTCGTCCGCATGGCGCCTTCACAGGAGCAATTCACCCTCCACCAGTCAACTGACCGCGTAGGGAAGGGCTTCTTGGAATGATGTGGCGTGTTTGCCAGAAGGTGGTTTCTAGGCTGGAGGTCAAGCTCCTCATGCTCATAGCTAAGGAGGACATATATGGCAGCAATCTCTGGCGAGCTATGCGGAAGAGACAGACCTGAGCGCATACTCTGACTAGATTATGTTTTGCCTTAACCAAGATATATGGATTCTATAATGTAGACGGCATACTAGAAGGTGTGGCTTAACTTTTGGTTTGCTATATCAAATCATTTTCTAAGCAAGGGAAAGATATATAGAACATACAGTTGGCCTAAACAGGCTTCAGCTAGTTATATCGACTACAATTCTAATATCCTAAAGCATTCAATAAGAGGTCTCACAGTTGAATCCATTCACTTTAATATGGAAAGGCTTCCATCTGATGCGCTATAGTACTTGCGGTCAAAGTCACTCACCATGATGATGGAGATATAATTCGCTGAAGCAGTTGTCGCAGTCTCTAGTGTCTGTATGGCTAGTATGCAGTCTCGACCAGCAGACAGAGAGTAGTAAAACAAGACTTTTGGAAGCTTCTGCTAGATTGGTTGTAGTCGTCCGGTTAGTCCTGTGCGGGAGGCTCTTACGGCAGGGTCGCTATCGACACATAGTGACATACTATGCCAGTTTTCTCTCCCTACAAGTAGACTTCAACTCTTACTTACATACGAAACCAACAGCGATTTCAGCTATACTCTCTATATCCAATCATCCAGACAACTCAAACCTTGGGTACATAGGAATGGAGAAGGCTCTCACTAGTGTTGTATTCACGCTCATGCAACATCTTAGCCTAGTAGCCTCGCCGTGGAGGTGAATCAGTCATGACAATTCGACACGCTATTTTCAGCAACACTGGTGACGGTTGTCCAAAAGGCTCTCAGCATAATACCTACTATATACCTATTGGTCTTTCCCAGCTCCTGGTATCTAGGCCTCTTTGGGTCAAATACGTCCTTCAACCTTTTATCACTGTACTTCATTCCATCTATCTACCTATATACTATAATCACCGACATATACTTTAATCTAGAGTAAAGCCTCTTTACACTCTATCGAATCCTCAACTACCTACCTTCGCTTAAAGTCTTATATAGCTGGCCCATCCCCGAGAGGCATAGGCTCGTCCCTAGTATATGGTTTTGCTGGCATATCAGTCATTTCGCTCAGTCTTAGTGATTGCTGATATGCTTAGACGCCTTAGCTGCCTTCTCCCACAACGAGGGCCAAGCTCTGGCTCCTACCTACCGATATAGCGCAGCAGCCTTCATCATACGATATCACCACTATTTTGGATGAGCGTACGTACCCTAGCCGCCTACTTTGTGAATTCATCGACTGTCTTCTTAAGACAATCGTCCACCGTCAGACCTCTCAGTATCATCTGGAAAGGCATTCCTTGCCGCTTCTTCAACATTATATAAGACAATGTTCATCGTCACCCACTATTGAAGAGAGCTACGGCAGTAGAGTTCATATACGTTATCTGTCATATGTCGGCTGCTCTCTGCTTATTCGACTTAGAGGCATAGCGTACCGAAGTTCTGACAATGGCTGAGACCGGATGCTAACGAGGATCTACGATGGTGAGAAGCGTCTAACGTCTGCCTACGTATATGGTGATGGAGAAATGATATACTTCAAGCAAAAATACAACCGGAGGCATAATGACTCCTTGTCTTGCCTAGGAGATGGCTTGAGAAGGATCTAACGTATGAGTAGCCGAGACTAGTGGCACGCCATATCTTGACTCGATCATTCTATTATCGATTTAGTCGATAAGCCGTAGAGCTACCCTGATTGATGATCATATCAGGGCTAGATACATATATTCTAAGATATTGATTTAGTCTTTGCTTCTTTCACCTCATTCTGGAGTGGTGGCTGGCCCACCATTACCCCTAAGTTATTATTCTTATGACCATGTTCTACATATTCAAGACGTATGACAATCAAATATATAGGCAGCATAGAGCCTCAAAGCCTCTCTTAAAGCACCATCCACGAAGGCCTTGCTAGACGGCCCCTAGCCTGACAGCCCATATGGTATAGACTGTGAGCAGTTATGAGGGAGGCTGACAGCTTCCCATCGTATCACCTCTATACCTGCGCGATTAGGCTTTACCACTGCCTATGTCATTCTATGGGAGTTGTAGGTTCTTGGTCTGCCGCTAACAGGCTGACAAACGTTAGATATTGAAGGTGATTGATATAGGGTTTGGACATACATAGGACATTATCCTTAAGTTAATTACACACTTCTAACATATGTCATCATTTCACGATATGATATTTAT